TTATATAGTGGGATTGGGTTGCGCGCCGCAACATATATTTACTTATTATTATTGATATTTACATGTTGGAATAAGGGATAATCGTATTATATGACGGGATCGGGTTGCGCACCACAACAATTTATGTGTTTTGTATTCCTTGTTGTATTGTGTTGGCTTTAGTGCTTTCGCACGAGACTTTGAGGATTGGTATTTCTGTATTTACTGGATTTTGAGGATTGAGTTACTTTCATGAGTTAAGTATTTTACTTTTCCATATGTTCCTTTTTCTGTCATTATTTTTATACTACGTACAGGTTATTGTAAGTATTTCGCCTTAGACTCGTCACTATTTCGTCGAGGTTAGGCTCGGCACTTACAGAGTACTTGAGGTCGGTTGTACTCATACTACACTCTGCACTTCTTGTGCAGATTTTGGAGTCGGTCCCAGCGGCGGTCAGTAGATTGCTTGGGTTGATTATCAGTACATAGACTTGAGGTACAGCTGTTCGGCGTTCGCAACCCTGAGTTCCCTTCTACTATATCTTAGTTGTGTATTTTCTTTCAGATGGTTTTACTTTCATTCAAACCTTTATCTGTATTATTCTAGTAGCTCATGCACTTGTGACACTAGATTTAGGGTTGTATTTAGATATTTCAGTTGTTATGGCTTTCCGCACTTTATTCTAATTTTATCTCAGTAATTGACATCAGTTAAATTCGATTTGTTTAAAAATGGCTTAAAACTAATCTAACGTTGGTTTTCCTGGCAAGTGAGATGTTAGGCGCCATCACGGTCCCAGGGTGGAAATTCCGGGGCGTGACAAAATATATGAAATCATGGTAGAAATTAGGGGTTTTGGGTAAAATTTATAAATTTTATAAAATTGAGATTTAGACCTCAAATTGAGGACGAATTTCGAAATAAATCATATAATCGAGCTCGGGGGTGAATGTGTAATCGGGTTTTGGTCCGAATTTTGGATTTCGATCAAGCGTGTCCGGGGTTGCCTTTTGTTGACTTTTTCAAAAATGATCAAAATCGAACTTTTTTGTTTGTGTGTAATTTCTAAAGCTTATTTTGAATTATTTGATCAATAATTGGCTATATTCGATTGATTTGGAGGCTTATTCAAAAGGCAAAGTCACGATTGATTGTTGATTTGGTTGCTCAATATCGTGTTTAATTTTGACTTAAGGGAATTAGGACTTGTTGTACTAATTGCTATGTGTATTATTTGTGGGGACGACGTATATGCAATGTGACGAGTATATATGCGTTGTCATGAGTTAAAGCATGCAGCTGGAAATTGTCTTATTGTACTGTGTTGTTCCATTCGCTATGCCTTCCATGTCTTAGTTAGATGGTTACTCTTAATTGGGCTTCCGTATTTATTGCTTATCTTGAAGTTATAGAGATATTGAAAGTTGAGATTGCTTGTTCTAACACCACGGTTGAAGTTGAAATTTGCTTCCAACCTTGTTTGATACCTTGGGTTATTATTGTTGCTTGGCGAGCAAGAGTGAAAAGCATGAAGGGTGTCGTGCCTTATTTGCATATTGTTATCATTGATTGAATGAATGTGAGGATTAAAGCACGAAGGGTGGTGTCGTGCACTTGATTACTTTATTATGATTATCATGTGATGATGAGATTAAAAGCACAAAGTGTGATGTCGTGCCATTGCATTTATCATATCATGTAAATAAGAGAGTAAAAATACGAAGGGTGATATCGTGCCATTGTAGTTATTATATTATATGGTGATGATGCGAGTAAAAGCATGAAGGGTGATGCCGTGCAATTTGATATTTTCATTGCTTTTACTTGGTACTTGGATTGTGAATTTAACTTGGTGATTTTATTGCTTATTTCGGAAAGAGACTATTTGGTGATTCGGTACTTATTGTTCCGGTTGTTGCTCCCTTTTATATGTCCCCTCCTCATTATTACTTTTAAACGTTTTACTTGTTATTTTCATTGCTTTATGTTTATATCTGTACAGGTTTTTAGTAGGTGTCTTGTATTAGCCTCGTCACTGCCTCATCGGGGTTAGGCTCTACACTTACTGAGTACATTTGGTCGGTTGTACTCATACTACACTTTTGCACTTCTTGTGCAGATTTTGACGTTGGTACCAGCAGAGTCCCGAGAGTGTTGTATTTAATTTCGGACAGTGTTGTATTTAATTTCGAATCTTGTATTTAGCTGGATCTAGATGCTCATGACTTGTGACACCAAAGATCTTTGGATAGTTTATGTTATGTCATTGGCCAGTTATTAGATATTTATTGCTTTTCTTTTTATATATCTGTTATGTTGGCTTGCCTGGCATTCAATGTTAGGCACCGTCATGGTTTGTGGTGGGAATTTCGGGTCGTGACAACTATTTGAAGTTTAGTAAAAATAAAATATTTAAAATTGAAGTTGTGTTTGGAAATAAAAACATAGTTGGAATTTTGTGATTGAAAAACTCCTAAAACATATTTTTAAAATTTCAGATTCAATATATCAAACTTGAAGTTAAAATGATAAGCCACGTTGATAAATAAACACATATTTTGAATGCGTCTGCTTCTTATTTTAAATTTTCGAAACAAGGTCTATGGACAAACTTGATTGCATTATTTCATTTGTTTATTTATTTATTTATTTATTTTTAGGATTAGCTGGATGTCTTTGTCTAATTGTGCAGTTCCTCAGTTAGAGGATTCATAGATAATGTTAGTTCAAATCTTGTTTGTCTTATATTGTATGTTCGACGAAATGTGAAATTAAAAAGGAAAATACGACTTTTGACACATATATAAAATATTTTGAAATCTTGTAGTTTTAAATTTATCATAATATTTTTATGGCTATAAGAAGATGTCATTAAGCGTAAAGATAAATTTAAGTTAATAATTTTTTAAATATATAAACGTGTTATTTTATTAGAATATATTTCAAAAAAGAAGTCCTATATAGATATGGTAGTATATGATCTAGTTTCATCAAAAATATATACCGACTACTATTGAGGTGATAAGCTTAATTCTGTTTTGGCAATATGAAAATCATAGACTGACATTCAACTTTGTATTAGGACATCTCGCATTTGATTTAGATAATTAAAAAGATTTAAACCATGTTACTTTTAAGAAATCATATGCATAAACAGGGCCCTAGCTAGAGCACGATCTACGGGTTCGGTCGAATCCAGTAATTTTTGTCCAAATCATGTATTTGTCTTGAAAAAATCATCGAATATATATAATTTATTTATTTAGAATTTAATAACTTAAACAGATTAGATTCCCGAACCCATAAACTTCAAATCTTGACTTCGACTCCGTGCACAAACAGTTATGGTGATGGAGTCTTCACTGTAGTGAAAGATTTTATATACAGGTAACATCTTAACCGGTGTGGAAGTGATAGGGGCTCCGAGCTTATTCTTTAACTAGTGCATTTTTTCGCGCTTCGCGCGGTCATTAAACAAAATAGTAAAAATATCATGTGATCCTGCTATAAACTTAATTGAGATAGAAGAGATTGGTAGGATGCATTAGATAAAGTAATGCATGCATTAACTTTGTGTATTAATAATATCTTATTTGGTACACTTTTTGAACATATGCATTAGTTATGCAAGTATTTTGGTATTATCCTATGCATAACTAATGCATAAGAAATCATATTATTAATAATGCAATGAGTTTTAATGCATGCATTAGCTTAGTTAAAGACAAAATTATCCTTCAAAATTTATACTTGATTAAAATATACTATTATATTAATGCAAGTTTGATATAATCCAAGAAAGTGAGAAATAAAATTATATCTCTAGTAAATAAATAAATACTTAGCATATTTCTTCTTTTATAAATATTTAGTTTTATATTGCAATATAGGTAGACAAATCAAATAATTTTTTAAACCTTTTCATATAAAAACATTCCTCAACATATGTTTCTTTTAAAAAGATAAAGTGATGGACTGGTTATGAGGGTATTTTTGTAAAAAAATAATTCTTTTAGAAATTATGCAATACTTTAATATATCAGACCAAACAATAAATAAGAAATATGTCAGTATAACTAATACTAGTATTGCTAATACACCCTATTCAGCATTATACTTATACACCCTACCAACCGACCCCTAAACGTACATGTAATATGATTCAAATGCATATACACTCATCGTACTATAAAATCAAATGCTTACACCCTTTTTAATTAACACTATTATATGATGTTCTTCAATCTCTGAGTTCGAAGGGTAGAACAAGGGAAGGTTAAGGCTTTCATCTCATTACTCTTTTCACGGCAAAGTCAGCATCTTAACTCAAAGAGCAAGGATTTCTTTTTATATAATTTTCATAATATAGGGGTATACGTGTGTGATTTATAATATAAAGAATATAAATACATCTAATAGCTTGTTTGACCAAGTTTCTTTTGAGGCAAAAGCGTTTTCATTTTTGTCGAAGGTATTTTTTTTCTAAAATTAAGGTGTTTGGCCAAGCTTTTTAAAGGAAAAAAAAATGCTTTTGAGGTGAAGCATAAAAAAGTAGTATTCTCCAAAAACACTTTTTTGAAAAATACTTTTGAGAAAAATATATTTAGAATCGATTTTTAAAAGTTTGGCCAAACACTAATTGCTGCTTAGAAATATTTTTTAAATTAATTAGCCAAATACAAATTGATTCTCACCAAAAGTACTTTGAGAAAAAATACTTTTCAAAATAAGCTTATTTTTGCAGCTTTACCAAACATGCTATAAATCCTATTACAGAAATATTTTTGCGAAATATTACCAAAAAAAAAAAGAAAAAAAAGAAAAGTAGTCTTGGTGCTGATTAATGGACCATAGCTTGATACCCCATTTATAGATAAGCTCTTTTTCTTTTTCCCTTTTCCCCAACATTTACACGTGAAAAATATAATATGGTCAACTTTGACATAAAAATTCAAAAGTTAGTATTCGCCATTCAACTCGGCCGAGTTAACCCGAGTGTTATTTATAAACAGCTGTTGACCCGTGAAGTCATTTCACTCAACTTGGTCATTTCCTTTTCAGGCCAAGTCCTTTGTATTGTATATCACTTTCCCCTCTTTACTGTGAATGTGATCATCATCTCCCAATTATTTTGGCGATGGGATCTCTTCTCCGCATGAATCGCTTTGTAAGTCCCTTTAAACCCTAATTACTACTCTCTTTTTACTAAGTTTGACTTTTAATTGTTGAAAAATAGTCTTTTTAAGAGTTATTTAGCTCAAATTAATTAATTTATGATACGCCAAATAGCATAATTGAAATTGCGAGTCAGTTAACGTTAGCATTTTAGTGATTTGAAAGGTTATATTTTCGTCGAGCAAGGTTATTAGTTCTTGGAGTGTGGAGTATATTGAGATTTAGGGACGTTTTTTAAGAATGATAAATAATATTTAAATGAATTCAAATTGCAATGATCAACTATTAATATATTAGTGGAAGTTTATTCAATAAGTAGATTTTTTTGTACATAGCTCGGATTATGGCGAATTGAAAGAGAAATGATACAAAAGAAAAGAAACTAAGTGGTCATTTATGCGACTGAGTTTCGATGGTTTCTCTGTTTCTGTTAAAGACATGATATAGTTAAGTAATTAAAAGTGTGTTCTCTCCAACTATTTAAGCTTTTAGATGAGTTGGTCACACATTTCAACAATTTCCGAATGTGATAGTATACCTTTGTGAGGAGGAGGAAGTGAGGAAGGAGAAGTAAGTGAAAGAAGAGAGGAACTTTACCAAATGAGATAAGCATTGATCCCTTGTGATTGCCAACTATGATATTTATAGTTAGTAGTAAGTGGCTTCACCATAGACTAGTAATTGTAAAAAGAGAATCTATCTAAGCGATGCAATTTATCCATGAGTGTTGAGAACCACTTCTAACTGCCCGTTGGGTATAACTGCTTTTTTAATCGACCTCCACAAGTAGTTTTCTGGCCAATTCAACTTATCTTGCCTATATGGATCTTGGAGGAATTGAAATCAAAGGTAAAGTTGAAAGTACCTGTCACACTTGCACAACCCTGCTTGAGGTTTTTATCCTTTAAAATGAAGAAGGTCCAGCTTTGGAAGAATGAGTAGGAATTTTGAGGCCTTGGTTTCATGGATTTTACTCCTTATGGTCTTGGAAGGTTCCCGTCGCCGGTATGATCTATTCTGGAAAAGGCTCTTAAGATGCTGCAGTTGTCAATGTTCCAGTTCTCCAGAGTTTGACTCAACTCTCTTGAGTCTGATCTAACAAGATCTTGTTGACTTTGGCATCATTCTCCTATATGTATTATGTCGCCGAAGTTCTACTCTCTTTATATACTACGACTCACCTTAATTTGATCATGTTCTCTCTGCTATGATGAATAAGTGGGTCAAGAAGGAGGATCGGATATTAACTGCAATGAACTAAACATGCAATCCATAGAGAGCGGATTGAAAAGTTTATTTAATTAGCAAAATTTTTGTAAAGCTCGGAGTACAATGAATCAAAAGGGTGTTACAAGAGAAAGGAATTAAGAGGTGACTCCAGCAATTGACTGTTGTTTCCCCATTGATAGTTTTCGTGTCAGAATGAATCAAAGAAATAAGGATGTCTACTATATCGACAACAACTCCCCTCCCGCTAGAAGGTGGAAGAAGAGAAACTGGGAGTGGAAGAAGAGATGAACTTTACCAAATGATATTCATTATGAGATAGCAACTATGTGCAAGTGGCACTATAGATCTGTAACTGCCAAAAGGAGAATTGATGTGAGCAATCCAATTAATCCACGAGCACCCGGTCCACTTTTTTTTTTTTTTTTT